TTAAATGATTTGCCAGAAATTAAGCACACAACGCGTTGTTTTAATTGATTTTCGCTTAAAAACGTTGCACAATTGAACACTGTGCACATGAAATATCAATTTTGTTGACTTGTCTGTAAATTGCAAACTGAATTATTTTTGGCATTAAAATGCAGACCATCACACATATGATCATATATGTATGTATATTTTCGTACTGTATTCATATTTCTACGCATATGCCGGGCCATATTTATATGACTTGCATTTTACACTAGCAGATTTTTGCTTTATATTTTTGCTGTTGTTGTTGCTTTTATTGGTTTTATTTATGAAAGCGCATAAATATTTATCTACGACTCGTGCAGCTCGAATGATGGCACAGACAAGCGAACGCCCACACATGCTACAGATGTCGATGGCTTTGTGTATTATAAATTTTCAGATTACCATCAAAAAAAAAAAAAAAAGAAAAAAGGCAACTTATGACAGTTTATTAAAATGAATTTCACACAAATTCAATCTGCATGTCATTTTACAATGTGGAGACTGAAGGCCAAAGACCGCAGCCCTTACGGAAGGGTCAGCTCTCTCTGTTTTGGCCAGTTTAAATTTAGCCCAAAGTTGTTTTTTTCCTTTTCTCTGCATTTAAAAGGGACAGACTGTAGCGTATCTTGAGCATAATTCAGTGCATGTGCTGTCCACAGACCCAGGACTAAACAAAGCCAAACAACTTCGCCCAGCTGGACCCGCACACTGTTTTTTATTTGCTTTTTGTGGACGCAAGAAAGAGAAAGGAATATGATGAGGCTGCGATGCTTATGTGTGGTCACGAATTGTTTACGACCCGCTTTTGCCCAAAACTCAGAGCAGAGGTCAACGTCACACACACCTTTAATGGAGCTCTTAAAATTGTTGTGCATGTGGAAAAGAAAAATAAATAAAAGTAAATTCCAGGGGGCACCCGGATTTGAACCGGGGACCTCTCGATCTGCAGTCGAATGCTCTACCCCTGAGCTATACCCCCATATAAAAAACTAACAGTTAGAGCTGTTTTTGTTATGAAAGTCTAAGATAAATAAAATTTTTAGCACAGCAGCAGCTCGAAGTGTTTGCTTATCAAATTTCAGAATTATCAGCTAGTTTAGTTCCACTGAATGTGGCAACATGTCTAGTTTTAAATTTCAAAAGAAATTCCTTTAAAATGTCTATCACATGGTAAAAGTTATCTCGACATTCAACAAACTTGACAACACGCTCAGTTTGTTGTTAAATATGGTAAAGAGCACATGTTTCTCTCACCTAACTACAAAACAAACTCAAAGTTGATATATATATATATATATATACAACACAGGCAAAAACTTTGCTATTGACACCAAACTACTCGGCAAGTTTGGGGCAAGAGAGTTTCGTCAGCCTTTAACATAGAAGGGCGGGCACTTTTGGCAGCTTGAAGCACGCTGCTGAAAATTGTTTTAATAAATATTCTCGCAGTTGCATGTTAAATTACATGAAGAGCAAGAGTCTGGCATGGGCTACAATTAATATTTGAATTGTGCAAATTGCACACGCGCTGCAAACATTTTTTCGCTGTTAACTTCCGCAAAGTGCTCTTGTGACGGGCTTGGGCCGGACAGCGGGTAGGGGGGAAGTGCCAGCATGGCAGCTCTGTGCGCTTCCGTTGTGTCACAAAATGGCGCGAAGCAGACGTGCTGGCTGGCCAGCGCAGCAGCCGTATGTGTGTGTGTATGTGTGTGCGTGTGAAAGTTGATGAGACACATGTTTCCTCATGTTCAGCAGACGACCTTGCCCCAGGGCAGACGAGCCAAAAGCACACGCGCCAAATGCCACAAATTAAGCATCGGCTATAAATATAAATGTGCCAAGCGGCGCAACAGTTTTACATAATCGAAAGCAGCCACAGACAAACCAGTTGCAGCTCCACATTAGATTCATTTTAAGCAAGTGTTCTATTCTTTTATGCTATATCAAATGGCTGCACTGCTGCCATTGCTGCTGCTCTCGCTGATAGCTTTCACCTGTGCTGCCTACAGCTCCTCGCTGGACGACGCCACGAGCAGCTCCAGTGCGAACTCAATAGGCGGCAGCAAATGCGATAAGAATCCGCTGGGCGAGCTCACCTTTCAGCTTAGCGGCAGCAATCTTCACTGGCCCTGTGATTCCACAAAGAACATTTATGTGCAATCCGGTCGCTATGTGCCCAGAAATGTGATCGTGACACGTGCGCAACTGCAGCGGGATTCGGCATTTGTGGCGCTGCCACGTTACAAGCAGGGTGTGCCCTTCACCCTGGGCAAAGTGAATCTGAAGAAGGGCGAGTGCTTGGCCAAAATAGCGCCATATCCCTGCTGGGCCATACAGGAGGAGGGCAACTGCCAGGCGCTGCAGTCCGTTGTCGATGTGGCTGTGGATCAAAATGTGAGTGCCATTAAATTTGTTATACATTTCAGGCCAACATGTGGCTCCACCGAGAGCCTCATCGTTTTACACACACGCACACACAGGTTAACAAGCCAATTTAGCCGGGAAAGCAATTTTTTTTCTTTAAACCCGAAACTTACTATGCAGTTTTTATGCAGCACATATGCATGCAAATGCATGTGCATAAAAAATATACGCTATGTTTTTTTTTTCTTCTTTTAAATCCTGGCTACCTTAGCGTAATGGCTTTTTAAATCTCATAAACAGAATGCATATGCCAAAAAATTTCCATAAAATGGAATTTTTTAAGCGACAACACAAAAAGCACAATCTGTGGATTGCCTCAGCTCAAGGTTTACAATTTCAATGAACCCCATATAACATGCCGATAATTGAACAGCTTCAATTTTAATTGACATTTCAATTAAGCATTTATCTTAATTTCTTATCAACACATGCGTTTAACAAATTAACAAATTATTTTCTGCTTCAGCTACTATCTTAAAGCTACAAAAGACTAAAAAATATTTAAAATTTTTCCAAAAACGAATGCATATAAATATCCATTTGTGTATACATCTCTTTTTTGTTATTTTATTATTTTGTTTATTGACGAGTTCATTTCCTTGATCTCTAATTTGTATCTCAAATTAAAATTTTTTTCAATTTATAAATAATTTCAGTTGCAGTTTCACATGTCAAATTTCTGCATTATATTTAAACAGAATTCAGCCAGCAATAAAAACAATGAAATATACTGTATGTGAATACATATTGCACATATACATATAATAACAATAACAACAATTGGCACGCGAATTTGTTTATTTGCATTTTGGCAATTTCACACAATTTACATGCATTGTTTTTGTTTTTAATTTGTTTTTGTTGCTGTTTATTATTTTTGCTGATGCGCATAAAAAATAAATTGATTGTGCCAGAGAGTTAACACATAAATGTTTGGACTCATAAAAATTCCAGCCATGTCTCACTTACAATTGAAATATTTAAAATGCCATACAAATTAACGCTTTTTATGGATTTCAGGGTTTGCTGTGGGCCTTGGATGTGGGCATTGTCAATACGCTCGAGCAGCCCATACGCCGTTGCAGCCCCAAAATTGTCGCCATTAATACGGCCAACAACAAGGTGGTGAAAAGCATCGATCTTAGCGATCTGGTGACCTCCGAAAGTCGTTTGCAGTTCATTGTCGTTGACTACTCCAAGGATAACAAGCCTTTCGTGTAAGTAATTTTAAGCCCAATTAAACAAGTCAGAGCGTATATCTTCGGTGCACGGAAGTGCAAATAAGCTACTTTTGCAAAAAAAAAGTTACATGAAAAGAGACCCCACTTGAATTTATGAGAATTGCATAGAAGGGCATTTTTAGTGCACATCTAACTTTATCCCGTTTACTCACTAAATCACTTTTCTTCTCCAGCTCATTCATCTCTTACTTAATCGCTCCCACTTCCCCTCTCTCTTTCTCCCTCTCTTTCTCTCTCTCTCTCTCTCTCTCTCTGTTTGTGCTCTGCCTATAATACGTTTTTAAACTATAGTAAGACTATGAAAACCGCCGAGAAGGGGATTTGCAAAAGCAAGAAGGTTTTTGCTTTAAAAGCGAAATAATATAGTTCTATATATAATAGTTCTATATATTAGAAGAATGATAAAACTCGAAATTTCTGGACAAGTACAAAACAGAAAAGTTTTCCATATAGAAACTCACATTTCGACTGCTTCTAAAAGTGTCAAGCAGAACCGAGCAGAAGACAAGTCAAGTGAATCATGTTCGAATGTTCCGAAATTGAAATCTTATCAGTTTCTTTGTTTCTCGATAAGCGCACAACTTGGGAAAGTTGCAGCGAAAAGCTCGACATTAAAGATTGTTTTAATCGAATTGTTAGAATTTTAACAATTTTCAATTTAAATCTTTCTTCTCTTTCTCCCACTTGCAGCTATGTAGCAGATGCAGGAGCTCGTAGCATTCTCGTCTATGATATTACGGGTAACAAATCGTATCGCATTGTATTGCCCCGCGCCACGGCTCCGACCAATGATGTGCTCTATGTGGCCTTGACTGCCAAGCCAGATGGCACCTCGACGCTGTTCTTCAGCTATCTGAGCTCATCGCGTCTGTACTCGATAAAGGGCGAGTATTTGCGTGTGGGTCAGGGCGCCGGCTCCATCATAGATGTGGGACCCAAGCCCTATGGCAAACAGGCGGTGCTGCTGGGCGCCGATGGCGGCACCTCGCTCTTCTTCCGCTACAAGGGCGAGAATGACATTTATCTGTGGGACTCGGAGACCTGCTTTAAGGCCTCCAATTTGCAGGAGGTGCAACGCGGCGGCGATTGTCGCCTATCCACGCAGGTGCTGCCGGGACACAAGCGCTTCATGTGGGCGCTCGAGAGTAATTTCCATGATTTCATATCGGATCGCACTGGCTGCAATGGCGCCTCCATTGTGCTGCATCCAGTTGTGCGCGAATGCGATGATTGAGTCTCCAGAGTTTCTCTTGCCTCATTTTATTAGTCATAAGTTTTGTTATTGTATAAATTAAAGTTTCCTAAAGCTCAACATATGCCCACAACACAAGTAAATTTCGACTCATCAAAGATCAAACCCTGGTCGCAGCTGAGTCGCTCCACAGTAGCACCCTTATTATTGCAGTGATAAAATCGATTGCAATCGGTCAAATCCGCAGCCAATCCCCAACGCTGGCACTTGCCATTCGTCAACTCCGCATCATTGCTGCCAGCTGGCGGCTGTCCATGACGGCACATGAGAAAGATGGCATCAAAGTAACTGCCCTCCGGACACTTTCCATCTATCAGTTCTCCATTGACGCAGTAGGAGTATGTGTATATTGATTCCGCCGGATAGAGCATGCCATTGCGGCAGACCGGCGACTCCGCAGCTAAAACTCCCTGGAAGTACAAGGTAGTTAGAGCTACCAATAGCAACGATAACAGGTTACGAGAATTCATTCTCAAGACTGTGGCTGGCGACGGCTTCCAGCAGCAGCTTAAATACTGGAGGTTCAACACATGTCTGGAAATGTTGGGGTATTAATTAAAAGATATGCACTTAGTTGGCTGCCGTTAAATCAAATACACGGCAAGAACCCTAATATATAATATGAAACTGGGAATTGTATATATATATATTCCACTCTTTTATTGATTTTATATTCACTTTCTGTATAATCTTTAAAACTTTTATCTCAAGCCTAGGCACGTTTTGGCATGCATACGGCACCATTGCCATCAAAGATGGTGCCCTCGGGGCATGTGTAATAGCTCAGTTCACCATTCAAGCAAAACAGATATCCATGTTCAGTATCTGCGGCATAGAGCTGAAAGTCCTCACAGGTCTCTTCCTCCTTAATACATAAGCTTTCAGACAGATCGAAGTAATAGCCTACGGGGCATTTCTGATAGATTAGCGTACCGTCGAAACAAAAATTAAAACCATATTTTGTTTCTGCAGGATAGGACAAGCCATCCTGACATATCTGCGAATCCTTAAGGCACGTTCTTGCGATAGCATCGAAGTTGTGGCCCAATGGACAGCTTTCGTAGGACAGATCTCCATCGGTGCAGGAGAAGTAACCGTTGATCGTATTTGCCGGATAGAGAATACCCTCCTGGCAGGTCGACAACATCTGAGCTGGCGCAATTCTCTGCGAGCTAATAGGCCTAATGCAGCTGTGGCCATTGAAAGTGTAACCATCGCTGCATTTCATCATCAGCGGATAGAAGATGTCCTGGCCGCCCTGTTTATCCTTTTGGCAGACATAGTAGTAGCTGCTGTTCGCGGCCCAGGCGCCTGTCTGGCCCACATAGCTGCAGGAGTATTGCTTCTCCGTGCACTGCTCGCTCTCGCGGGACATGCTGCAGCTGTGGGTGAGCAGGGAGTAGGCGGCACCGTTGGTGCATTGACGTGGCGTGTCCACGTTCTGTTCGTTGCAATCGTGATAGCTGCGGCAGTCGTAGGGATCTGGGAATATGCCTGGCAGCTGGCAGTAGAACTTGCCGCGCACGGGCACTTGACACTTTGGCTGCCAGGTGCACCCAATTGTGCCCTCATCGCTGCAAAAGAAGCCGCGCTCCGTCTGGCATTCGGTCATGGAGATCGTTTGCCATTGGCCATCCACATGCGAGCAGAAGCCCAGTGTGGAGCAGTCGACGCACACAAAGCCAGCCAGGCGCACTTCCTGGCAGGGATTAGTCACAAGCTCGGCAGAATCAATAGCCAAGCTGCTGTTAACTGTGCCAGCCTGGCAACGCACTAGACATCCCAGCAGAAGAAGCGGCAACAACTTAGGAAAACTCATTTTAAAGACTGTTGGCTGGATGTGCTCCAAGCAGGTGCTTAAATAGCAAAAGATAAGCATTCGCGGCAGGTGTAAAACGCATAATTAAAAGATAGTGGCTGATGGTTTATTAAAGTCACAAGAGTACAAAGATTGACAAAATTCACTTAAATACTATTTGGAATTTAGCATGTGCCCAGCACACAGGCAGCTTGCTCCGGTCGGTAAAAGGTGCCGGAGGGGCACTCCAAGTGGCGCATCTCGCCGTTCACGGCCGAGCAATAGTAATACTTGTGGCAATCGTCCATATCGGCTATGAGACCCACATGTTTGCAACTGATCGGCATTACGTTGAAGCCATCATTATTGGGGTCCACAACGTCCGGCTGAGTTGTTGGCACCACTGGCAAGTTGTTTCCAGGACGGCACACGAAATCCGCAAAGATCTCGCCATCGTTGCAGCGATGCAGCGAGGGGTAAATGACCACGGTATCATTTAGATTTTGGTTAACCGTCGACTTGCACACGTAAAAGATATTGGGATTACTGGGCCAGGCGGCGACAAATCCCACCTTGGGACAATGGTACTGCGGTTGGGTGCACACGCTGCTCTGCAGCGTCATCGAGCATTGGCCGGTCCGAGCATCGAAGGCTTTGTCATTGCCACAATCGACGGCGGCAGCGACCAGGGTGGCGCCGACAAAATAGCACATATGATATTTCTGGCAATCGTAGGGATCTGGAAAGATGCCCTGAGAGGTGCACTGAAAGTTGCCCACAATCCCAAATGGATGGCATGGGCCAGTGGCATTCGAGCACGTGCCCAGACGCATATTACAAAAATACCCATTGGCCACATCACACGATTCCACGGGTATATTAACCCAGCCATTGGAGTGTTGTACACAAGTGGCCAGCAGTTCGCAGGATTCGCAAATAGGTCCAGGTGTCTGACGGCTCTCACAATTGCTCGTTTCCCTGGGCTGGATGATGCGCGTGGTGACTACGGCAGCAGTCATCAAGTTGATGACGTTGAGCAGAACCTATTCGCAAAAAAAAAGAAAAAGTAATTTTAAAAAAATCGATGAAAATGAATCAGTTTAAGCAACTTACCAAGCTAAAATGCAGCTTATAGAAGGACATGTTGATTGAGTAAAGATCAATATAAATTTGGGCACGTCTAATTGCTGCAAAGTACTAGAATTGTCTGATTTGATAGCGTAGCTGGGAACTACAAAAACAGTTTGACTCACAACCCAAATATAGCAGACGTACAAAGGTAAAGATATCTTCTGCTCTGGCACTGGGCCGGGCGCCAGTCTTTATATCAATACGAGTGTTCTGTATGCGAGTGTGTGTGTGTGTGTAAGTATGTGTGTCTAACATCTTGCGAAAGTTTAAAGTTGGGCAAAGTGAAAATCGTAACCATTACAACGGCCAGAGATTACAAACGTATGGAATGCTGCGCTGCTGAGCAAATGGGTTCATATTTACACAGAAAACATTGTGGCAAAATCTAAGCTTAGAAATGGCTTTATGTATTTTATGCCAATAGCAGTTTCTAGTTTCTCAAGACAAACATGAAGCACTTAAGTTGTATGCGCACTTTAGAAAAATTAAATATTTACATATAACGGGTATAGTTGTTTTCAATTGCAACTGTCGTTCAAAATATTAAAAACGACCGCGTAATTTCATCGAAAGTAATCAAAAATGTGGCGTTTTTATCGACGCCGATTACAAATACTAGTTTTTTGGTATTTTGCTGAACGAAAATCGAATTTCGATTGAAATCTAGCATTTTCTAGTCGTGCTGTGCACAGGCACACCGACACATAACTTGCTCTAAACAGCTTCAATATTATCTTTACAATTTCTAATGGATTTCGTACACGAATCTGTAGCCCTTGGCGTCGATTTACTCATCCTTGGCCTCTGTGTACGCGAATATGTGAACTACAAGACCACCGCGAAAGTTTTGAGGGTAAGACTGGAAGTTGCATTGCATGCATAGTCATAATCAACGATTCCCGTTACTTGCAGGAGGCGCCACAGTACAATATTGATGGTGATCTCAAGAATATTGTATCTCGGCAGCAGGATAAGAAGATACCATATGCCGTAATACGCGGCACAGTCACGCCCATTGGCGTGCCATTGCGCAGCTCGTTTGTGCCCAGCGTGAGCGGCGTGCTCCAGATTGTGAAACTCCATGAGCATCGCGTTATGCGCGCGTTTGCCGGCTTTTGGGCCGAGCAGCGTAAAATGTTGCACGAGAGTATCAACGAGATGCCCTTTGAGCTGACCAATCAGCAGCATGGCGTGGAAATTATAGATGCGATGAGTGCCGCTGTGCTGGATGTGGACGTTGTCTACGATAACTATGAATCGACATCGCTGTCGTTCTTTGATCACATATTTGGCTTCTTTACGGGAGTCCGGCAGAAAGGCCTGCAGACAACCGAGCAAGTGCTGCGCGATGGCAGCTTCTTGACCGCCATTGGTGAGCTAGAAATGGACGGACAAACGCTGCGCATGCAGCCATCTAAACAAGGACCACTGTTCCTTACCACTGCCACAAAATCGACGCTCATTAAACGCTTCGAGGATGCCAAGTCCTCTATGCTGTAAGCCAACAAAAGGCCGCTTTAAAGGCTTCACTAATATATATGTTTGTATTCCGTTCAAGCTTCAAAATTGTGCTGTGCAGTAGCATATCCATGGTGCTGGTTGGCCTGATCGTACGCAAAATGTATCGCAAAAAGAAGCAAGAGCGCGAAGAAGCTAAAATCCGTAAGCGCCTAGAGCTGGAGCGCCGGGAACGTCGTGCACGCAATAGGCCACACACCCTGACCCAAGACCAGCTATGTGTTGTGTGCTCCACCAATCCCAAAGAGGTTAGCTAGTGAATCTGTGCAGTATGTGTCGCTAATTTGTGCTTTTCTGTTTCAGATCATTTTATTGCCCTGCGGGCATGTTTGCCTGTGTGAGGATTGCGCCCAAAAAATCGACATTTCTTGCCCTGTTTGCCGCAGCAAAATTGACTCCAAGGCGGCTGCGTTTATTGCCTAGTTGTGGATCCCAGTCAAGTTAGATCAAATGTACCTGTCTCATCACAAGTCTTTGTTACCGTGTGTGCAGTTTTACATATTCATAAAATTCGTTTCAAGTGTTGACCATTCAAAAGTATTGTGTGGAATCTATGCACTGGTTGCCTGCATAATGTCTCTATACTCCCGCTGATGATCCAATAGCTTTAGAAAGACTTTGTACTTTCGATTATGCAGATCCACTGTGTTGGCGTTCGGCATCAATAGTTGCCCAGTGCCGCCCATGGCCTTCGAGGCGCTCTATTAACGAGTTACGAGTTTAATTGATATAATTATAGTCGGGCACTTGTTCTGTACAAACCTCTAGGCTGTCATAGTGTCCGGAGGCAGCGGCGCCCAAGGCGGCCGCGCCCACCAATACCATTTCCTGTTCATCAGGAATCAAAGCAGGCAGATTGCAAATATCCGCATGGCATTGCACATAGAGTGGATTCTTAGCCAGGCCCCCGCAAAAGAGTAGCGTCTGAAAAGCGGCGCGCTTGTGCTGGTAAAGATTCTCGATGATGTGACGTGTGCCATACTGTAATTAGTCAATTATTATAAACACACAATAGAAATCGCACAGCGTCCAGATATACTTACAGCTAGAGCCTGCACAAAGGCCAAATATTTGATAGCCAGTGAATCGACACCTCGAGTCATGTCCAGGCCAGTGATCTGTTTGGATAAAGAGCTGTCTGTATAAATATAGTTAAGCTTCGGACACTTACTATGCCGCGCAGCGTAGGATCTGCTACGGGAGAGCGATTGCCATGTAGATCCGGCCACACATGGACATCCTGCGTCAGGCAGCTCAGCTCGCTCAGTCCACGTTTGGCTGCCAGTTCCGGCAGCAACTTGTTCAGATGCTGGTAAATGTGTCTAAAAGAAAAAATATATGTGTACCAAGATTTTTAATAAATTTATTTGACTCTACTAACTTGTCTCCGCCCAGCTTCTCCTTCAGCTCAGAATAGCTTTCATGCGTTTTGAGCACATGATCAAGCAGATGGCCGGCAATCGATTGACCGCCCTCGTTCAAGAAGTAACCCGGTATGATGGCATCTTGGTACGGACCCCATACGCCCTGGGCAAAGCAGGCATCACGTGTGATGCTCATATGGCAAGTGGACGTGCCTGCAATTAAAGCCATTTTGCCCTGCACATCGTCCTCTCCTACATCAGCACGGCACCCAAACATTCCCAATGCACCGGCGTGTGCATCAATCAGCGATGTGCTGACCACGGTGCCCTCGGCCAGGCCCAACTCTGAGGCGGCTTGCTGAGATAAGCCTTTGCCCACAGGCTTACCCGGCGGCTGCACATCGCTGCCAAGTGCCGCGAACTTGTCACGCGTCAGCTCCTCCAGATCGGCGCCGCGTAGAAAGTCAGCGCTCCAGCTGTGGGAGGCAGCATCATAGTTCCATTTACACACCACCGAGCAAAGCGAGCGAGTGTCCGTGTCTGTTGCACGCCAGGTCAGAAAGTCCGGCAGATCGAATGCCCGCCAAATGCTTTCATATGTCTGCGGCAAATTACGCTTCAGCCACAGCAATTTGGGTATCTCCATTTCCAGCGAAACCTGACCGCCCACGTATTTCAACAGCGGATGTTTGGCAGCATTTATCTCGTCCGTCTCTAGCTCAGCGCGATGATCCATCCATAGAATGATATTTTGTTCGGCCACGCCGCTCTTGCTCACCGTCAGGGGTGCTCCATTAGCACCCACTATGACCAGGGAGCAGGTGGCATCAAAGCCAATGCCCTTCACTTGCGTCTTATTGACACCGGAAATGACATGCTGCATACAAATCGCAAAGCTAGGTTAATCTTATCTCCAAACGCTTTGAAGGTTATCAGTTACCTTAACAACCTTACAGATCGCATGCCAAATATCTTCACTCGATTGCTCGTAGAAGTGCGGCTCTGGTGTCCAGGTTTTGATAACCTCTACCGCTTGCTGCTCCACTTGGCCTTGGGCATTAACTAGCGCTGCTCTCGCACTGCCCGTGCCCACGTCCACGCCCACAAAGAACGCATTGTTGGACATAGTACTGCTGGCTCCTGCTCTGCTGCAATAGTTATTTTTATTGCCTGCACAATTTGCGGTCAAATAAATGTTATTAAACCAAGCCCGGCGAACGCCTGACGCTGACTGATAAGAAATTCGAGCTGTCTGTGGAAACGTGGGACTTGTACCGGTTCGTGAAAGACCTCTCGCAAGTTGTGGTGAATATATTAGTTGTGTTGTGCCTGGGACCGAGGCGGAGGCTGGGCCTGTTTGACGCCCACCTATGTTATTGAAAGATTTAAGCAGTAGCTGCCTGTGCCAGCCATTTGGTAACTTAATTAAAGTTAAATTAAACATATTGATTAGTCTTTAAATTATACCAACTATCAAATTTAGCTTGAATTTAAAATCACAACTGAGCAATTTGACAAAGTCATTTACTAATTAACAACTGTTTAAAAAGCATTAAGTTTACTTACTGAAACTTCCTGCAGCTACGGTCGTCGCTCGCATACTGAAGACCCGTTCTCAAATGCGGCTTTACTTATGTATTTAAATATTTAAATTGTAAACATCCCGCGCGCATTCGCTCTCTCTCTCTTTCTCTCCCACTCAATACCTTTCTCACTTGTTATTTCTTTGTGCCATTTATCAATTGCAACAGTTGCTCTCTCTCTCTCTCTCTCTCAATACCTTTCTCACTTGTTATTTGTCTGTGTCATTTACCAATTGCAGCAGCTGCTCCCGTTATTCAAGGTCAATTGCTTTTCATGATCAACGCGTTTTGTTAGTTCTCGCGTTTAGTCCATCACAAATATGAGCTCAGGCTTTTTAACAGTCTGGCAACTCAGCGCCACATCTCATGTCTATCGCGTTGTTTGTTTACAATGGTGCGCATTAAAAATCGGTAAGTTAATTAAATAAATGATATTATTTATGACACACACCTCTAATAATATTCATCCTTGTCGCTTATCAGTTATATAGCCGTGCAAATTGTACCATATGCGCCAGTTAAGAGCCTGCGCCTCAACGACCATACGCTGACCAAATGCCTGCTGCAAAATATAGAGAAATACTACGGCGTGTACGGGCTGGGGGTCTTGGAGCACGGTTTCCGTGTGAAATACTGCAATGAGCGCACTAAAATTGCAATTATACGCTGCCTACATCGCGGACAGCGATATGTGTCAAGCATATTGCCGCTGATAACGTTGGTAATTACGTTAGATATGTAGCACGTGTCCGGCATTTAATTATACGCACAAATTAATATTTGTTGCAGATAGGCGACGTGCGCGCCAAATTCCGCACTCTTTACACGGGTGCCACAATCATACAATGCAATAAGTTTATAATTAAACATCAGCGACAGTTCTTGGACCGCATGATGGGCCAAGTGGCATCGGCCAAGGAGCGTCAGGATTTGTTTAAGCGCGTCATGGAGCTCGACATGGACAGATAACATGGACAAGTTAATAGCAAAATGATTTATGTATACTTTAGCATAGTGCATAGTTATCTTATAGAATATTGTTGTTCCAATTCGACTAAAAAGTTAAATTTAAGGTTTTTTTTGGTACACTCGATGCTTATACTTCAATAAGGAATTTGCGGCTCGGTGAACGCGATAGTTTCGCACTGAATTGCTTGAGCCTGTGCTGCAAATCCGTGAAGGTCAATTTGTTCTTCTTGCTGTAGACATTCAGATAAATACCCAGTACAACGATGAGGCCGGACCAGATGTATCTGTTAATAGAAAACATGAGTTTTACCTAAGACCAAGAGATTACCAAGGCATCTACTTACTGCACTGTGAAGGGTTTGCTGAAGAGCAGGAACGAGAAGGCTATGGTCACAGCCTTGCGTGCGGTGGTCACTGTTGCGGCTAAGGGAGCGCCGCTGCTCCTAACTAAAGCCAGCACAAATTGTATGCCCAAGTAGCCCGAGAGACTAAACAGAAAGCCGTAGCCAAACGTTTCCAGCGGATGCACCAGACAAAAGGCGAATCCACTGAAAAAGTTGCCGGTAAGCAACATAATCACAAACAAATAGACAAAGCCCAGTCCATATGAATAGAATACCACCTCGCTGCTTGGCGCTTTGTGCTCGCGCATAGCCTTCTCTTGGACATTGCCAATGGCTGCATCACACAACAGGGCGCCGGATATCATGGCGACGCCCAGAGGATTAAAATTTGGTGTCAGCTGCGAATCGGCCAGTGTGAACCAGGCCAAGCCGATGCACATAGCCATTGCGGCAGCAAAGTCAAGTGGTCCGTAGCGCTTGCCCTGTATAATGATGCTGCCAACAAGCACTGGGATCAGCTTGCAGCACTTAAAGATCACCTGAGTGGGATAGTTGAGATAGCCGAGGCTCGAGTTTGACAATCCCATTGTGCCCAGCGTCAGTGCAGCAAGCACAAAATATGTGCGCAGAGGAATGCATCGTGGTGCCGGCTGAACGCTCCAAATTGTGCCGCCTTGCGTTCGATAGGACTCCAAACGGCGCTCTACCAAACCAAAACCAATGTAGTAGCCAAACTGCACCAGCGTGAGAAACCAGCCATATGGCTTAAAGCCCTCAACCGTAAAGATCAGCTCTTGCAGATATCCATAAATAATATAGAGTATGAAAACGCCGGCACAACTGAGCAAAAATTGCGTTGTTCGATTGTAGTGGCTCAGGTCAAAGCAGAGAATGCGCACTTCTGCCGGCGGTGACTTTGACGCGGACGATGTTTTACGCTGAGTGGTGGGAGGGGAGGCGAAAGCGGAAGCCGCTGTCTGCTGCTGGCCATTGCCAGTGCCGTTGATGCTGATAACGTCGTGTCCATTGCCTGCTTGGCTATCACCCACCATTGTTCAAGTGGTCGGTCTCACTGTGTGAGTGTGCGTGTGTGCGTGTGTTTTTATCACAGTTTCGGTGTGTATTATTTTAATTACTGCCACGCAACGCTAACGTTTTTACGCATTCACGTTTGCATTGGTGCATATTTTTGATTACGCATTTCTCTTAGTTACATCATCACCATAATGTAACGCGGCATTTAGTAACAACTTTAGTTTTTAATAGTGTTTGCTACGGGTTTGTTTATTCTGATGTTTGTGGCCACTCGATAAATGCAGTTTTCGATCATTTAAACTCGATATATTATTAGTGTGTAGTGCTGCCAGACTGGTTTAATTTCCCAAAGTGCACCAATATGAAAAATTATGGTCACCCAAAATTCTTATATTGGTCACACATTAATGTTGCCAGCTAGTTGTTTTCCATTAACTATCTGGCCATACTACATACTCTTAAAAACATCATTTCGTCATTTAGCAGCTCTCGCTTTTTGTTTCATTTTAAAAATGGCAGACGTAGAAAAGGAGCCTGAGAAGACCATTGCTGAGGATTTGGTTGTTACCAAATACAAATTGGCTGGAGAAATTGCAAATAGTAAGTAAATAGTTGAATATATTTAAGAAATGCGTTGCAAAGTGAAAGTGAAGTCAAAAATTTTCTGCATTAATGTCGGCCGCTACGTGTAGCCGACAACAATGGAGCTCACGAAGACGTCGGCGCTGACGCTGACGTCGCTGTTGCTTGAAGTAGCCACGCGGCGGTGTTCGCGGGATATGCGAGAGCATAGCGTACATAACCTCAAAGTTTTCAGGTGTTGAATTCAATGCCCAAATACAAATTTAAGACAGTGAAGGTTGGGATTATAGCTTTTAGAGCTTCAGTTTAATAAAAACATGAAATGCCTTCACTAAATTGCAATGCTAATGTGCGACTCACAGTGCCACGCGAGACGTACAAAAACTCGTTTCGCATAGAACTAACTCGACTATTTCTGTTTCGATGTGTTTAATTTTAGAAACTCTGAAAACGGTTATTGGACTCTGTGTGCCGGATGCCTCTGTGAGGGAAATTTGCACCAAGGGCGACACTCTGCTGACTGAAGAAACCGGCAAAGTAAGTTCCAACTGAATATTTGCACCAACAAACCACAAGCGAATTAAGTCCAATGATTAAAACTAACACAATTGAGAGCCTCTGCGTGCGTTACTGCGCTGCGGGCCGGCAGCATGTGTGCGCAGTAAAAAGCCGCGTGCTTCCTGCGTGCGTTGAATTTTCATCCACGTGCGTTTTTGGCGCTGGCCTGCGGCGTTTGGCGCGCGTGCTCTGGGGCCCAAAGATTCACAGATTATGAGATCTGAGGACACTTTGGCATCCAGCCAACTGTCATTGCTCCTATGATAAATCGATTAACACTCTGCCTTCATGTACCCTGCCCTAGGTATACAAAAAGGAAAAGGAACTGAAGAAGGGTATCGCATTTCCGACATGTCTGTCGGTCAACAATTGTGTCTGTCACTTTTCGCCAGCTAAAAACGATGCCGACTATACGCTAAAGGCTGGTGATGTAGTTAAAATGTAAGTATCATTCACTCACCTGCAACATTCGTTTTTTATTTATTTACCTTGTGTCCTTACTTGCCACACACAGTGATCTGGGTGCCCACATTGATGGCTTCATTGCTGTGGCTGCGCACACAATTGTCGTGGGCGCCGGCGCGGATCAGAAAATAAGCGGGCGCCAAGCTGATGTTATACTGGCCGCGTACTGGTCCGTTCAGGCTGCACTGCGTCTGCTCAAGTCCGGCTCCAGCGTAAGTGTTTCCGCCTACTTATAAGATTAGGAGAGGGATGCAGGCAACGGATTGTCTAGCGTATAATGCACAGCGCCAGCACATCTCAACACCTGCACAAAGCACAGGCGACAATTGGCGAAAGCGCAGTCATCAAATCAATGGCTGAGCCTCTGTTGATTGCTCACATATGCATGTATATATATTTGTAAATAGATATAGTAATAGTAATCCTTATGCTGCAGGCAACGGAATGGCTGTTGACCCTCAATTATAACTGGCACAGCACAGCTCAACGCCTGCAGAGATCAATTGCGGCAATTTCGTGAACTGAACGAGTTTATACATAGAAATGTTTGGTCTTTACAATTGCACACAATTATAGAAAATCATATATAGTCTATATGGCTAAGATTCAAATGTTAAATTGATGCCTTTATTGTTCGTCATTTTTTCAGAATTACTCAATCACCGAAGCCGTGCAACAAATCAGCGAGTCGTACAAGTGCAAGCCCATTGAGGGCATGCTTAGTCACGAGCTGAAGCAGTTCAAAATCGATGGCGAAAAGACGATCATACAGAATCCGAGCGAGGCACAGCGTAAGGAGCACGAGAAGTGCTCCTTTGAGACGCACGAGGTTTATGCCATCGATGTTATTGTCAGCAGCGGCGAAGGCGTGGTAAGCAGTAGGTCTCTATGGGACACTTATTTTATCACCCAACATTTGTTCAATGATTAAAAACACGCGCTTGAGGATTGGCATGGCAAGGCTATAGAGTTAATCATGTAAGCGCCTTGTGTGTTTGGCGAGTTGCCCTTTTAACGGCTCGGCACATGTTAGCTTCAGAATTGTGCCATAGCTGGCCCGAAGATTGCAAGATTATGAGATCTGAGAACGCATAGAAAACCATCGAAACATGTTGATTCGTAGACTCCGCAGTATTGATAACATTTGTGTTTGTTGCAGGGTCGCGAGAAGGACACAAAGGTCTCCATTTACAAGAAGTCCGACGAGAACTACATGCTTAAGCTGAAGGCATCGCGTGCGCTGCTGGCTGAGGTGAAAACCAAGTACGGCAACATGCCCTTCAACATCCGCAGCTTCGAGGAGGAGACCAAGGCGCGCATGGGCGTCGTTGAATGCGTCTCACACAAGATGATTGAGCCCTTCCAAGTACTGTACGAGAAGCCTTGTAAGTCGACACTTATTGATATGATATTAGTTTTGCAAAACTTAATTCCGGATTTGGTATAACTCTTGAGCTGCCAACTACGGCCAGACATTTTGCTAGAACAAAGCTCCAAAGGCTTTGGCGTCTTCAGCAGTTGCCTTTTAATCTATGGCCTCAGTCTGAACATGCCATCGCTACAAAAGCATCTGAAAAAATTCGTCAAAATGGGAGCCTATAATTTGTATCATTGTTTACTTGCAGCTGAGATTGTGGCACAGTTCAAACACACGGTATTGCTCATGCCCAACGGCGTCAATTTAGTAACCGGTATACCCTTCAACGTGGACAGCTATGTGAGCGAACACAGCATTGCGCAACCCGAACTGAAGGTAAATCGTAATTTCTGGTGATCTAACCTGACCGCAATCTTATCTGTGGATTTTATTTTGATTTTCAGGAACTGGTCGCACAGCCACTGGGACCTGTTAAGGGCAAGGGCAAAGGCAAGAAGGCGGCTGCCGGCAATTCTGCTGCGGCGACAAAAGTGGAATCGGCGCCGGCCGTTGAGACCAAGGCATAGGCCCCCTGGATACCATACAAAAAACGCCCCCTTAAAGCAACAAGAATGTGAACAATTGCGCTGCCTACTGCTGCCGCTCTATAAATTTTTACTATAGAATTCATTGATTAGTAAACCAGAAAATCCATTTGACAACACAATTCGTTTTCGTTCCAAGAACTTTAAATTTCCCATTCTATGATTAAAAAAAACTATCCACTTGAAAGCCTTTCGAGTTTATTCAACAGTTAAACCCTTAAAATTCTATGTGCAGTCAACTCTACATATTTCTTCCCTCCTTATAAAAACGTACTGATCTTTCGTTTTAAATTTCTAAATCGATTTGTTCTAAATCGCAACGAGACGAGAAGTTTGAAGAATTAAAACATTTTTAAAGTAAACATGATCTTTAAAATACTTATAATTCAAAAAACAAAAACGTTAAAAATCCACGCGTAGTAGGTATTAAATAAAATTAACATTTTATAATAAAAAGAATAAGTAAAACTGAGTTTTCTTGGACTGTGGTTGGAGATATCAAATGGTTTCATATATCACTTAATATATAAAAGAAAAAGAAAACTACGATTACTTCCAATACAAATAATTTTTCTTTTATTTTTACGTTTTATGTAATTAAGTTATGTTCACAATCTTTTTGCATTTTTTTTTTTTAATTTCTTGCATGTAATTAAAATTGTACACAGTCTCATGTCTGAACTCTTGTATTACAAAAGCAGCAAGAATAATTTTTGTTATCGTTACTGGTTACTAGGACACCCATCCCCACACTCTTCCCCAAATAGCCCCATCTGTCTACGTCCCATTTCGACACGCCAAACGAATTGTGCCAACAAAATTAAACAACAAAACAAATTACATATTAAATTGTGAATTATGAGAGCGAAAAGCGTGCAGCACACGGGATATGCGAATAAAATGTGCAACCAAAACGGACGGAGGCGCCGTCGACGGACTCGCAGATTTGAATCGATTGCGTTTGGTTAGTTGAAATACATGTTGTATGTATTTGCGGGTCCGGTTATGCAACAAGCAAGTCTACAGCCAGTAAGGGAACGGGGGAAGGGTACAACGACAACGTTGTTGCTGGTGCCGTTTGGGCCATTAGTTCTCGGCATGTGCGTCTATTGGCGCCGAGGCAGTTACATTGCTTGGTTTCTCTGGCGAGTCCAAGTAGATCTTTAGGGCTCGTTCGCGGCGCTGCGAGTAGCGTGTCGTTGAAATGCAGCCCAATCGATCCAGGCGCGCCTTCTCCTTATTGGTTAACGAGCGGCGCTCGTCTGACGAGAGCTCTCGCACCGGCACGCTTTTATCTCTGCAATAAACCATAAACTTAGTGACACACACAAAAGAGCATAATGGCATGCCTCCCACTCACTTATACAAATACATGTTGCCACTGTTAGTTGTGTTCAGTGGATACACGTCCAGCGCCGCGGGCACAGAGAGCCAGTTGACGGCCTCGTTAACGGTAACTGCCGATATGCTTGTGCAGGGAAAGTAGCTGTTTAGCTGTGGGCAAAGTAACAGAGTGTTAGATCTTATCCAAACATATATACGTGTGACAATTCCTACCTTCATATAACTCAAGCGATCAATAGGTATATTGCATATTTGTGATAAACTTCTTTTGATTTCGCCGTCCTCTGCAAGGAGTGAGATTAAGAACCATGCTTTAACAATTCACCAATTATAATCAGCTTACTGTCCATTGTGATTTCCTGGAATTTGCCA